TTAGAACTCCCACCGGGCACGTGTGCTTGCATACCCAAGATCCCGAGAGGAGAATGGAGGAGAAGGGATTGCGGAGTGGCCATCCCCCAGGGGGGTGATTTCTCGCTTTCTGTCTCTGTCTCTGTCTGGCGCGCGCACGCGCCCTATAGCAAAAACCTCTCAATAAAAATAAAAAGTGTCCGGACGGACAGAGCAAGCTGAGAGCGAGCGAGCGGACGCGGCAGCAGTGGGCACGGCCGGGAGGCGGGGACCCAGGGGCTTCGCAGTTTCTCATCATAAAGCCCTTGGGGAAGGGATGGGAGCTGCTTCAGTGAGGACAGGGGGCAGCCAGCCAGTCAGTGCCGAAAGCTAACGTGCGGCAGGAGAGCAAGGGGCCACGTCACATCGGCAAAGGGGGCGGGTGGGCGGGCGGAGAGGGGAGGCCCGGAGGCCTGGCACACTGACCTCCATTTCTGATCGCCGTGATCCCTTGGTGGAAGTCTTCGAAGCTGATCACGCCAAGCCCACTGGGGTCCAAATACCTGGTCAGGCCCTTCACCTGCAACGGCCAGATGGGAGCAGGTTACTGAGGCCTCGCGGGGTCGGGCCGTTCTCACACACAGAGAAGCCTGACTGCGGGGCCAGCAGGGGGCAGAGTGCTTATCCTGCTGCGCTCCCACGTGGCCAACTGCACTTCGAGTCCCAGCCTGGCAGCTCGTTGCTCACTTTCTCCCCACTCTCTCTTGCTCTGTCCCTCTCTGGTCAAATTTAAATAAATACATAAAGGTAAATGAAACTATTCTTTTTTAAAATTATTTTAACTTTATTCATTCATTCATTTTATTTTAATTTGATCAGAGAGAGACAGAGAAAGAGAGGGTAAGTGAGAAAGAAAGCCATCAAGTCCAGGACTCGAACCGTGGTCGGCCACGTGGGGATGTCCGCAGCCTTAACCACCACGCCACCTGCTGGTCCCGAAACAATTCTTTAAAAAATAATGATAATTTTAATATGGGACCAGCAGGTGGTGTAGTGGTTACATCTCTGGACTCCCACATGGCCGACCACGGTTCGAGACCCAGACCTAGTGGCTTGGAAATCATGCTAGGTGAGTGTGCATGTATACCCAAGATCCCAGAGAATGGAGAAAGGATTGAAGCACGGCCATCCCCCAGGGGTGATTTCGCACTTTTCCGTCTACTCTTTCTGTCTCTCTCTCTCTCTCTCAATCTCTCTCCCTTTCCTCCTGGCGAGTGCACATATCCTAAGGCAAAAACCTGTAAAGAAAAGAAAAAGATAATAAAACTAAACAAACAATAACTTTTAAAAATAACTATTTTTGTTATTATCTTTGTGATACAGCATGTGCACTCTCCAGGTCCAGGACTCAGACTGTGGCCAGCCACGTGGTGTCCGGTGCTGTGCTCACCATGCCTGCCACCGGGCAGCCCCACTGAAGAGAAACTGGGGACTGTCAGCCTATCTCTGTGTGCGGACTCTTTACGTCCTAATTCAAACAAACCCACTTTTTTTTTGAGAGAGAGGTTTTTGAGGCAAGGCACATATACTCACTAGAGAAACAGAAAGTGAGAAATCTCTCCCTGGAGGGAGAAGGCCATGCCATAATCCCCCCCCTCTCTTGGGGTTTGGGCACGCACACAGGCCCAGCATGAGGGTTTGTTTTGTTTTTGTTTTTGTTTTTTTTAAGAATTACTTATTTAACTTTTTATTTGTTTAACTAGATCAGAGAGGGATGGAATGAAAGCGAGACAGAGACAGAAAGAGAGAGAAAAAGTGAGAAAGCAAGGTGCCAGGTCCAGGACTCAAATCATGGTCAGCCATTGTGAGTTCAGCATCCTTAACCACCACGCCACCTGCCAGCCCTCTGGAGTGAGTCTTAAGCCACCAGGTCTGGGACGCGAACCATGGTCAACTACATGGAAGTCCAGTGATGTAACTATTATGCCACCTGAGGGTCCCAAACACACTATTCTTATTTACTTATTTATTTATATGAAGGTATTTTCTGTGTTTTTGGGGTTTTTTTAACTTTTTTTTTTGGAGAGGTTTTTGCTATAGGGCGTGTGCGCTCGCCAGACAGAGACAGAGAGACAGAAAGTGAGAAATCACCCCCCAGGGGGGATGGTCACGCCGCAATCCCTTCTCCTCCATTCTCCTCTTGGGATCTTGGGCACGCACGCACACGTGCCCAGCGTGAGTTTAAGCCACCGGGTCCGGGACTCGAACTGCGGTCGACTACATGGGAGTCCAGAAACATAGTCATTGTGCTAACTGCTGGTCCCTCTGGGAATTTAAAAAAAAAAAAAAAACCAACTTTATTATTATTCTTTCCCAATTTGACCAGAGAGAGACAGAGAGAAAGTGAAAAAGCAAGCCACGAGGTCCGGGACTCCAACCACGGTCAGTCAGGGGAGTCAGGGCCTTTAACCACCATGCCACCTGCTGGCCTCCAAACACACTATTTTTAAAAATCACATTTGTAAGGCCATCAGGTCTGGGTACAGGGGTTGGCAGTGGGTGGCCACCCGACGCCCGTGGCGGTGACGGGAGTAAACGCTGTGATGCAGGCTGAGTTTGTGGCTACCCTCGGCCGTGCGCAGGAATCACACACAGACTGCACGTGCAGACCTGTGCTCCACCCCTAAGATGTGTCACTGCGTGGGTGTAAACATCCCAAGTTCTACACACACCCAGCCCAAGCCCTGCGATGAACAGGGCTCCAGCTTTACTTCGCAGCAGGGTCAGGCTGGCCCCCAGCACAGTGGTGAAGCCCTGGGCAAGGAAGCAGGTCCCAGGTAGCCATCGGGGTTCAAGGCCGGGCCGCAGCATCTGAGAACACACACCGGACCATGTGCGCAGGGTATGGATGGGACCGGAGATCGAAGGAAGGAGGATGGTGGTACGGCCAGGCCCGCAGGACAGTGCAGCACACACACTCGCTCTCGCCCTTCCACACACATGGCGACCAGCAAGGCATGCCGTCACCGGAGCACAGGCCGCGCTGTGCCGCCTAAGGCTCTGTGCCTTGCACAGCCACCCCCGGGGCAGCTCGGCCCCGTCATGAGGGCACGGAAGCCACAGGGCTGCCTAAGGACTCAGAGCAGAAGGGAGGGCTCCAGGTGATGGCGGAGTCAGGAGACGCAGATGTGGACACAGGCTGGCGGACACCTGAAAAGCAGGCGTAGAGCCCACCTGCCAGAGCAGGTGCACAGGTGGGCAGTGGCTTCACAGACCTGGGTCTGAGCCGGGCTCAGTGAGGACACCCAGCGGCCTCTGGGAAGCAGATTGGTCGGGGGCTCCCCGCGGGGGCGGCCAAACGGGCAAGGAGGGCCTACGGAGCTCCAGGGGCAGGGGCTACAGTGAAGCCCCAGGGCCACATGCACAGAGGCAGACGGGAAACCACACCTTGGTCCCGAGTTCCGGGACTCAGAGACCCAGAAGGGCGTCAGAGATTTTTAAAATGTCTCCATTCTTGGGACCAGCAGATGGCATAATGGTTACATCGCTGGACTTCCACGTGGTCGACCATGGTTCGAGTCCTGGACCCGGTGGCTTAAAACTCACACTGGGCACCTGTGTGTGAGGGCTCAAAATCCTGCAGACTGGAGGGAGGACCTGCGGTGTGGCCACCCCTCCAGGCGTTGGGGAGGGATTTCTCGCTCTCTGTCTCTCTGTCTCTCCAGTGAGCACACGCACCCTACAGGGATTTCTCAAAAAAACAAAAATGTCTCCGTTCCCAAAGAACCTGAGGTCTGAAAGCCTAGGGACCTGAGCGGAGACTGCCGAACCTGGAGGCCACGTGTCCGCACTGAAGGCGCTCAGTGAATGCGCAGCGCCTAGCGGTCCGCTGAGTCACTGACCAGATGTGAGGGTGAAGGGACAGTCTGGAGCATGCTGTCAAACTCCATTTCCTTCTAGCTGCAAGACAGACCGACGTCTATGCCGACGATGTGGGTCTCTCTCCAGCCAGAGTGCTTGGACGGAGGCTCGAGGAGGGAATGAGGACTGGAACAGACACCCTACACAGCCCCCGGAGACCACGTGGCCCAGAGGTCACAGTCGGCAGTACCTCTCTGCCAGCAGGCATAGCAGCTGCGGAGGCCACGGGGGAGCCACCCAGACACAGGGACTGCCTGACAGGGAAACGCACCAGGGCTCTCCCACGCATGCACACACACAGACCCACTCGTCCAGGGGAGGAGGCACCTGGAACTCCAGAGGCCCCTCAAGAGCCACTCTGGACACGCCACATCCCGGGGTCACGGCACCTCCCAGCAGAGCACTGGCCATGCCCGCACCCGTGGGCACCCTCGGACTGGTTATGACACCAAAAACAGAGCTCACCTTTCCAGAAATCACAAGAAGGGCCCACGTGCCCAGGGTCCCCTCCAGCTCCCAGAGGCCACACCGGCTCAGAGGAGGCTGCAGCAGGGGGGCAGAACAGCCGCTCCCAGAGCTGGGTTCCAAGGCCATTCCCAGCATCCCACGTACACCTGCAGTCTGCCCACCCACAGCTCTTACGTGTCTTCCTAAAGCACCAGAAAGCAGCTAACAGGATGCAAAAGGCTGCCCTGCTGCCCTGCTGTGTCCTACCTGCCACCCTGTGTCCTGAGCAGCCCCAGCCCCAAGGAGGATGCCCTGAACGGACCGGACCGGCTCCATCCCAAGGCACCCAGAGCCCTGTGGCCAGCGATGTCCCACCGACCTCAGTGCCCTGGCGTGTGCACCAGCACCCGCCCACGAGGCACCCGACTGTCACACCTGGACGTCTTCCACAGAGAATGAAGACCAAACGGTTTCAATACAATTAGAAAAGACTAGATTTTATATCGCTTTCAAAATTTATAAACAAGATGGGGCCAATAGTTAGCGTAATGGCTATGTCACTGGATTCCCATGCAGCTGACTGCGGTTCAAGTCTGGGACCCGGTGGCTTAAACTCAGGCCAGGCGCGTGTGCGGGCATGCCTGAGATCCCAAGAGGAGAATGGAGAAGGGATTGCGGCTATCCCCCGAGGGGGTGATTTCTCACTTTCTGTCTTCCTGTCTCTGTCTTTCTGGCGAGCACACGTGCCCTGTAGCAAAGACTTCTCCAAAAAGAAAGAAAAAAAAAAAAATTTATAAACAAGAGAGGCCAGCAGGTGGTGTGGTGGCTAAGGGCACTGGACTCCCACATGGCTGGCTACAGGTCAAGTCCCAGCCTGGCAGCTTGCTTTCTCACTTTCTCCCTCTCTCTTGCTTTGTCCCTCTCTGGTCAAATTTAAACAAATAAATAAATAAAGTAATTTTAAATAAATTATAAACAAGAGACAGGGATGATACATTCAGGGGAACTTCAATAAGTTCATGGAGGGGGACCCAGCTGGTGACATGGTAGTTAAAGCACTGGAATCCCACATGGCTGACCACGGTTTGAGTCCCAGACCAGGTAGTTTGAAAATCATGCAATGCAGGGACCAGCAGTTAGAGTAATGGCTATGTCGCTGGACTCCCACGCAGTCGACCGCGGTTCGCATCCCGGACCTGGCGGCTTAAACTC